CCCTTGTATAATAAATAACTATTCTTGAATACCTTACTCATATAATAATAATTTCTTTATCCACACAAAATCTCACACTCAGTAAATCACAATAAAAAAAAAACACACAGTTATCATGATAAAGGTTGAGTTGGTAGTGTGAACAAAGCAGCAAAAACCGATAAGTGTGAAAATACTTGTTTCAGAATTGACATAATAAAATATTTGAACAACTCACAATATAGATATAATATAATATAATAATATTAATAATAATAATATAAATAATTGTAATAAGAATAGTGATAATACTGTATTAGTATTGATCATAACTTTATTCCAAAGAGCATACGAAACCTAACCTAATTAATAGATAATGAATAATATAATCTCAAGTTGACGTAATTTAAGAGCCATTGCATTTGGTTCATCTTTCGTCTTCATGGTTTGAAAATATACCATAAAAATTTCTTATGACTTGGGTATCAAAAGGATTCCTCACAAGTCTCTTTTTATAGCTGAAGTTACATATCAATTGGTGGGTTCAAGAACATTATTTCTAACTATATAGACATAGGTACCAGGTGAGGCAAAAGAAGTCATCCGACAATGTTTGGCTCTCATTTTTTTTTAAATGAAAAACTTCGATTTTGTTATTTGATTATGTTTATAAAACATAAATCAAAAAACAGAATCGAAGTTTTTCATTTTGGAAAAAAATGAGAGCCAAAAAACATCGGATGACTTCTTTTGGCCCACCTTGTAGAAATGACTCCGAGTTATCTTTATTCAAAAAAGAAATGTCAAAAATTCTGACAATGTTTCGCAGAAAAAAATAGTATTAATTCAACTTCATTGGTATGATCATGTTTTAATGAACATACGTAATGCTTGCTTTGAAACATCAAATTTTGTCAACCAGTTTGTAAAATACGAACATTTTACAACTCGGTCAATATAACGGGAGTGGTATCGGTGCCATCAAATTGTGTTGTAAAATCTGGATCGCAACAGACCTCGACTGGAGCCAACGTTTCGCCATTTGGAAGCGGTCCAACTTTATTGTCAACTTTAAATTAGGCCCAACAGGGCTGAAATTGACATAGGGAGTGTGGGTGATAGACTATAGTCCAGTCAAAAAATGGGCATGTACACCTTAGTAGAACTTTTAACTCAAACCATATTTATAATGATCCATTTATACATAAATAATGATTGACGACATAATTCGATCGAAAAATTAACTGGAATGTTTCATTTTTGGACATAAATAATAGTACCTTCTGAAAACGGACCCTCTTATGACATAGAAACCTCATCTCGCCATAGTTACAAGAAAATACCAAACGCCCGACAGAGATTGAGGCAACTGATATATTAATTCTTACAACTGTGATCTCGCGCTAATTCACTCTGTCAGAAATCATGATGTATATCATTCATCTCTGTCTGGAATAGTCTTGTTTCAGTATTAGGGTTTTGACGTCACATCATCGCCTCGTTTTCAGAGGTCCGAAAAATCGGGGATTTCAATAATTTATCATAAAACGTAGGGAGCTCACAGCAAGAAACGGTTTGCGGTGGTGAGATAGTTTGGGTGATTGGCCCATTATGGTTCTTTTAGAATCTGTTCCGTTTTCCCTCCTGTAGTTTTTCTGTATATCTACAACCGTTATTTAGAGAAAAATTGAAACTTTCCTCTAATTCGTGTTAACTTTTGGCTTATCATGGAAGGAATGAAATAAACCAAATCTCATTGGTTTCGATAAATCAATGAGGTACATTGTACGTCTTCAATTCCATATATATTCACTATATAATAGATGCTTATGGTTATGATCTTTCAATATCGATTTACAAGGGTTAATTCCTAGCTTAATAGTTTGCGAGAGGTAATACTCGAATAGGCACTAATATTTTAGGAGTAACTGAAAGTACGAGACTATATTCCAACATAACAATATTTATTGGAGCATGAAACATTATGGGTAGCAATGACAAATATGAATAAACAACAATGAATATATAAAGACCTGATAACAACTTACATTATAATGACCATTACGACGAGTTCTTGTGAAGAGTAGCCCCAGACCAGACTAACTTCGGAACCCTCACATCCACTATTTATATACCTACATCGTTTTATTAGACTTGCACATTTTTCATGAGAGTTCCTTGGTCAGTTTTCATAGTTCAATGTCCACGGATGATTTGATTAACTTTATGTTTATAAAGCCCTCATGGTTTGAAATTACTATAATATACCGTATGTTCTACTCTTGACACCCTTGCCTGATAACACAATGACTTCATCACTTTTTCACATTATATGCCATCTTCCATGAAATGTCAAATTTCAAGCCATGACAGCTCTGTCTACTAGAGTGAAAGTGAAAACAAGATGGCTACAAGCCGAAGAAATTTAAAAAATCTCTATTATCTGTTACAGCCGTAGAAGAAGTATACTGTATAAATTGCACGGAATGCCAAATTCCCACTCGTATGATTTGAAGCAAGAAATGACTATCATTCCGTGCTCGTAAACAATATAGTATTGTGAATGACTGCGCCCTATTTTAGCAGTTTTTTCCCATACGATGTGGATTATTGGACGAACCATATTGCGCGCATTTGTCAGCATTTTTTTCGCTCGGAATGCATATTTTCGTTGCGGATATATGAGTCGGAAAGAGCGTGGAGTTTATTGTAGTAACACGTCGGAGTAAATTATCGAAATACAGTTTTTTGTCGGATTGCACAAGTGCATCAAATTGATCAGATAATTCTGCATAAAAAATGTGTTATATCGTAATTGAATTATCGTAATTATTTTTCTTGTTTGGTGAAATTCAAAGAAGGTAGAATATATTTCTATTTGCGATTTTCTCTCCGCCTATAGAAAATTATCAAATGAATATTTTTCTTACGATTACGATGCTTTTTTGCATTTTTTAGTACTGTTGTCCCCTTGAACGTTTCTGTAGGACCAATATTAACTGAGATAGCTATTGAATAAAATATAAACAATCACCCTGTACACAAAATTGATCGTTAATGACCCCCATCGAAGATGAATTTCTCTATTAAAAATATTCCCCGCGTTGTTTCTCTATATCGGGATTATATAACGGAATCTATTTTTAATTCGAAAATATGGATGAAACGTTTCTGAACCTATTTTAACCCCTCATTTTCTAACACACTGATGTCAGTGACAAGTTGACGACCATATAATACGGCAATTAATGATCTACAACATTATTGCGCTCGCTTTGCTCGCCCGTTGAAATATCTCTATCATTAATTGCCCTCAATGATACACTTGTTGGTTAAATACAGCTTGACTAGCTTGGCCTCTGAGAATTGGATGCGCAGTAGATCAGTCGGCGGAACGGGGCGAAAGCTCATTATTTTCAAGGAACTGGTTCAGTGAATATCGGTTAGAAAAGTACAATCAATAATCGATCAATCAATAATGTTGCCGGGGTAGCAACGGGTGAGATCAAGTCCCACCCCCCTTTCACAAGACTTCCCTAGTGACTGCAAGTCACCTGTCTTTCGACTTGTACCGACAGCACATCCCAGGGAGGAATGGAAGATTTGGATACGCCAAATCAAAGCGCTAGAGCCATCTCCGTTATGTAACGGCATGTTCTCCTGCTGCCATTTTATTATACCAATGGTGAGGCCGTCTGATGAAACAGACTACTGGCTCTGCACTCTGCAGTGCCATTGCCCGAGCAGAAACGCTGCTTACCCGCAGAGGCAGGCAAGATTTCCTCCCACTTGACCCATAGTGGGATTCTTCTCTACCTCCTCTACCGTAGTCCAGTGGTGTTTTTGGAAACCTCTGCCCCCTGGATTCGGACCCAATTGGTGAGGCATCAGGTCGCATGTACGACCTGATGGGGCTATCCTCATCACCCCAGGTACCCATGTCAATAAGATTCCTCTTGTTACGTTTGATGGGTCACCGTCGCAAGAGGCTTTGGCCTGATTGCTACTCATGTTGACGAGAATCTTTTCGTCCTGTCGAATGAGTGATCGTCTGAGGACTTTTACACGTTCCTCTACCTCGTTTACAGGAGATGACCTGGCTTTGCCTACGATGACTGGTAGTCGGATCACTTGGGGCTGTTTCCTCCTAGACGAACTAAGACACAAGGTACACCAAAGTTCCAGTTTTCGCTGAGCAAACCCAGCTACCATGTCGACCGAAATCCTCCAGTCCCGTTTGATGGGTGTCTGTTCGCGGCCTTTCACACGTACCGCTACCATGACAAGAGTGGGGACCTCAAGTTTTTAACCAGAGGTACCTGGAGTCACCTGAGGCTACCCCCACTCGACGCCGTGAGTACATGGTGAGCCCACGGCCAGGTTATAAAAGTACAGTACGATTGTACTTCTCAATAAGAAGGCAAAGTGGATCTTTGTCGCACACTAAACATCTCAGTTCATCGTTTGCGCATCTCAGGGGCCAAGCTGGAATGGTCAAGCTGTACCTATCTCTTTGTTTTTTCAGGTGGGCGACCAAATCCTAGAAGTAAACGGCCAATCATTCATGGACGTTACCCATGACGAAGCGGTGGCCCAACTCAAGTACCACAAACGCATGTCGCTGCTAGTAAGAGACGTGGGTAAGGTACCGCATTCCTGTACAGCCTACGACAGGGAATGGGACCTATGTAGTCCGGGGTAAGTGGAAAATCACAGAAAATACAGAAATTAGGGCCAACATTTTCAGTATCCACAGTTGGCGTTACTAGAGCGTGAGGTCTATGTCAAAGTCAAAAATCCTGAAATTTTAACGGATAGCCCTGAAGGCTAAGGTCTATTTTTTTCGAAATTTTCATGAAAAAATTATGTGGCCTATGTGAACAAATAGAGGATGTATTTTTCTTCCTCTTACTCGTCTCTCTTTTCTTCTCCCAAAAACAAACTATTATACATGATATATAACCAAGGCTGACATCTCACTACTATTGAATGAACTGAAAAGTATTAAAATATCCCAAGAGCAGCTCCGCGAGGATATCAACAAAAAGTACGACCTCTTGAAAGTAGAAATCGCTAATTGTAATTCGACACTCGCAACACATGCCAGTTTGATTGCAGAGAACTCCAATTCTATCGCTCAGATCCAAGACAATCAATCCACCTTGCGATCTGAATTCGTTGATTTAGAATCGAAGCTTAATCACACCAAGGACACAGTCGTATCCCTCGCGTCTGCGTCTACATCATCGTCGCTGTCCGGTCAAGAACTAAGCGAGCGCATTTCTCGTTCGAAAAATATTATAGTACATCGCCTTCCAGAAAACGATAGCAGCGGTGACAAAACAGCTGTCGCAGAGATGCTCAAGTTGATGAACATCAATAAAATCCCACTGCATGTTGCACGATTGGGCAAGCAGCATGATCAAAAACATCGTCCACTAAAAGTCACTCTAGACTCTCAAGACACAGCAAAACGTATTCTTCGAAGCAAGAACACTTTGTCAACAAATGAAAATCTCCGAACCATATGCATTAGTGACGACAAGACACCCATGCAAGTCCAAGAGATTGACAACTTGAGAAAAGAACTCCAAAGACGAGTTGATGCTGGAGAGGCTGATCTTACAATAAAATTCTCTCATGGAGCCCCAATCATCACTAAACTTTCAAAAAACTAGTAGCTTCCTCAGTTTCCAACCTTCACTTCGCCTACACTAATATTGCTTCCTTACCAGCAAAATACAATGAATTGGCGCTTTTTTCAGAAATCAACGCTCCAGACTGCATCCTTCTTACCGAAACTTGGCTTTCTGAGAAAATTCCTGATTCATTAATAAACTTGAAAGACTACAAAGTCTATAGAGAAGATCGTGTAGACAAAAGAGGAGGTGGGGTACTGATATATCTTAGAACATCGACATTTCGTAACTTCAAAGTGCACCGCTCTCATCACTTGTTATCTTCAATTGATAACATCTGGCTATATCTAACTTCGAAAGAGCTCTCATTCACTCTAGGTTGTATCTATAGGCCACCATCGTCAGATAGACTTTCCGATATAAGTCTCAATGAATCCATCGAGCGAGTTTGTCAGTCATCAAAAAATCTGGTTTTATTCGGCGATTTCAATTACCCTTCACTCAAATGGCCCCTATCAGCGATCTCCGATTCAAATGAAAGCATTACTCTCTTTGCAGAAACAGTCATCAGTTGTGGTCTCTCTCAATTAATAACCACCCCTACCCGACTCAGAGTTAACCAAACACCTTCTTTAATCGACCTTTTACTAACCAATGATACCGATCTAATCTGTAACGTATCTTCGAATTCTCCTATAGGACGCTCCGACCACGTTGTTATTTCTTGTAATCTTCAAACAATTGCAATCAACAAAACTCGCAATATAATCAAGACTATCCCTAGAATAAATCATTCTGATCTCTCAAGGAAACTGAGGCATATCCAATGGGATTCCATCTATAACTGTCCTGATGTTGATGATAAATGGAATATGTTTAGTTCACTACTCCAAAACTTGATACTCTCTTCAACATATTTCGTTAAACAAAAATCAAATGCTGAAAAACCTTGGATCGATAATCATCTCATTCAGCGAGCCCACAGGAAACGAAAAAAGTGGAATAAATACAAAGAAACAGGCAATCCTCACGACTACGATATTCACCGTTCTTTCTCCAATGCACTCTCCGAGGACATCAGGCAAGCTAAACAACGTTATGAATCAAACCTTGTGAAAAAGGGAACGAAAGCAATATCTAAGTACACTCGAAGTCAACTTACATCGAAAGTATCTACGCCAATTATTCGGGATAATGGAATAATCTGCGACTCTAACTTCGGAGCTGCAGAAGCCCTAGCCAAAAAGTTCCAAGAAACGTTCACACCACCATGTCAGCAGCCCCTACCTCCTATCATATCCCCCAGATGCCCAAATTCTCTAGAAATAATACATTTTCCATCCATGTTAGTAGCAAAGAAGCTACAGGATTTGAAACCAACCACATCACCTGGCCCAGACAACATTTCGCCCTATATCCTAAAGAGATATGCTACAGCCCTGTCTCTTCCACTTAGCCACATTTTCGAATATTCCTTTGCGCATTACTCTCTTCCTTCTGCCTGGCTCTCGGCATCTGTAACACCTATTTACAAGAAAGGTGATAAACTAGATCCCAACAATTACAGGCCCATCAGCTTAGTACCTATATGTGCCAAAATTATGGAAAGGATAATTTTAGATCAACTTCTACCATTTCTCATTGAAAATGACACGATACCTCCGGCTCAACATGGATTTCTTCCTGGAAGATCTACAACAACAAATCTACTTTGCTGCCTAGACAATTGGACGAGAGCTCTAGACTCTTCAGCTCCAGTAGACATTATTTATCTGGACTTCTCTAGAGCCTTCGACAAGGTACCCAAGAATAAACTTGTTTTCAAACTCGAACATTTTGGAGTTCGGGGCGCCCTCTTGAAGTGGATAGATGGATTCCTCAGCAATAGGAAGTACAGAGTCAGAGTTGGTTCTTCATTTTCAAATTACTACGATGTCCTATCAGGGGTGCCTCAGGGATCTGTCCTTGGACCGACGTTGTTTCTATTATATGCCTCAGACTTGAAAAATGTAATCTCTTCGGATCATTCATTTTTCGCCGATGACAGTAAATTTTTTGGAAATCCAGCAACCAGTCATGCTCAGCTACAAACCGATCTTGCTTACCTAGAACAATGGTGCTCTGATTGGGACATCCCCTTGAACGACAGCAAATGTTGTGTGCTACATCTTGGTAACAACAATCCATCCCTCAACTACCGTTTATTCAACAATACAGTACCATCCGTGGATGAACAACGAGATCTAGGTATCACCATCAACAAAAAACTCTCCTGGTCGAGTCATGTAACAGATGTTGTACACAAAGCAAATAGTCGCATCTATCTACTGCGCAAGTGTTTCACCAATCCTAATCCCCAACTATTTGGTCAACTATACAAGTCGTATATACGTCCTCTACTAGAGTATGGTGTTCAAATATGGTCCCCACACCTAGTGAAAGACATCCAACTTTTAGAGAGAACTCAACGTCTTGCCACCCGAATGGTACCCTCACTCAGGCACTTATCTTACGAAGATAGATTAATCCGATTGAAGATTCCATTTCTCAAAGAAAGACGAGCCAGAGGAGATGCTATTCTGACATACCGCATACTGCACGATACATTCTCCATTGACATGCAGCATATTTTTGAGCTGAACACTGACCCCAGGCTGAGAGGCCATAGCATGAAGCTCAAACGCGAAAACTTCAAGTCCACCGTTAGGCAAAACTTTTTCGCCAACAGAGTATTCGGGCTATGGAATTCACTCCCAGAGGCCGTTGTGACAGCTCCAAGCATAAACAGTTTCAAAAATGGTTTCGACGCGTTCCAGTGTTCCAGCTTCTGACTGTACCAACTGTGCTGATGTTCCTCATTGTCTATATTAACAATTTCGATTATTATGTTCATACGATACCACTCACTTGTATTGTTAGGTTAATTTTGTATACTCATGGGCATAATAGGCTTTGCCTCTGCCCTTATTGTCAGTTAATAATAATAATAATAATAATAATAACAGTATTTCAAATAGCTGAAATGTTGTGTATAATATCAATCAAGCGTCAACCATATTTCACTCACAACTCCCTTTTGAGGAGTACTGCAAAGCACAACACAAGCACTCAAGTGCTTAGGTGTAGCAGGCTACTCAAACTGGGTTAAAAAATTATATATTTAATAATGGTACAGCAGGGCTCCCCCTTGGGGGAGTACCTGAACCTCGCCTGTTTACTATGTTACTATCTTCTTGTCCAATAAAGACATTATTATTATTATTATACTCATTCAATATCACTATGATTATATTCATGTTGTTGTACATTGCCATCAATAAATTGAATTGAATATAATGAAACAAAAGTTTCCTGTTTTACGTTATTAAGGAACACCCTGTATATTATGCAGTTCATATTGACATTGAAAGATATTGGTATTGGTTTTGGTATAGGTACATGAATTAGAACAGATGCGCTGCGACCTGAATATATTGTGCCCTATCTTCAGCCATCTCAAGGTTTTCTTCCCCCTCAAACTGCAATTCTTTTAGGAATTTTGAGAGGATCTGTTTGTATTAATTCTTCCACAGTCAGCTGGTGTGATCCCAGTTTATTCGATCTCCATATTCCAACAAGATATGGTGGCGTGTTTCTGGATGTTTCATGCAGAATCTGCAGGTGCTGTCTTTCTCTAAGCCTAGATTTCTTCAATGTTTCTTTGAGTTTACAATGCACCGTTAGAAATCTCGTTATTGCCTAATTTTGCTGAGGTTGATCAGTGTCTTCGATCTTGCCTGGTTGTAATTGCCGAGGACATCTTTGGCCTGTCACAGTCCAGGAAGTCCTCGCTAGTGTGTTGCTCTCTTGCTTCTTCAGCTTTATCAAGCCTTTTTGGAAATGAGAATTACCAAAGCCGTAGATTTGAATGTGCCTGGCATCCAGAAGAAGGTTACACCGATGTTTCTACCAAGATTCTTCAGTTTGTCTAGGTATTCCCAAATTATCTTTGAGTTGATGTTAAAAGAGCTCAACGCTTTGGTGGCTTCTTGGCTGTCGCAGAGGATAACGATTTCCTTGTTCCTGTATTTTTTGTCAAGGTTGAACTGGATTCACCTTTCTATGGGGTGAACTTCTGCTTGAAAAACGCTGGGAAACTGGCCCATCCGTCCGTATAACATATCAGTGCTTGGATGGATCCTGTGTTCCATGCTCATTTAGTGCTTGGTTCGGTCCGGAAATGTTTCTCAAGATTGAACTTCCTGAAAATTTCATCGGTTGGGAGATTGGCGAGGTGTGCACTTTCAGAGGACAATTATAAAGTTATGTTTTCAGTGAATGTTCGAAAGCATAGTTTCATAATAGATATTAAAGAACCCATACATATAACTTCGGCCATGTCTAAGCGTTGAAATTGAATTACGTTATGTATTATTGATTCTTTCTTCAGGAGTAGAGCAGCTCAAACTACCAGGAAATGGGCGGCCGCTCTCCAGATGGTAGAAGAGAAAGCCAGGGTGCTCCTGTCTCGTCCAGAATTCACCACCATGTGTTACTATACGGACGAGTACGCTGCCAGACATATGACCATAGATGCCTTCGTACAAGTCATGACTGAACTATTTAACACTCCCGATAAGGTAACGGTCAATCTGTTGCTTTCATCAACTGTCACCTTTAGGCATTATTACCTTTTCCGATTTTGAAAATGTCGTTAAATGATGATAAAGTTCGATTAACGATATATTGACTAAATAAATTCAAGGCTTCAATACTTGTGCTTGTAGGGGGGGTTGACTGTCACCCCAAACAAAAATGTCTTCGTTTCGTTCTCCAAAAGATGGTCGCCCATCAGCTTCTCTGAAGAGGTCAAATATCCAGGAGTAATCCTAGTGAAAAAACCCACGTGGAACCAACACTCCACAAAACCGTCAATAAGGCAATCTGAACTCTCTCAATATGCCATGGATTCTGCTCCAGATTATGTCGAAGGATCTTTGGTCAACTTGGGTTCTAGAACCAAGAATAATCTACTTATCATACTCCACAATGGCCAGATCCATGATGCTCTTCTAGTATAGTGGACCAAAAGTGAGAAATAGCACAACATGAGCTGCACAAAATTCAGAAAGTCGTGTGTTTTGGAATCAGAGGAGCAATGTGTGTGTGTCCTACTCCAGCAATGAAAGCCATGCTCGATCTACTACCTTTGCATATTTTTATCGAGATGACTGCAGCTCTCATTGCATACGTACTAAACTTCACCGAATTGGCCAGACAAGGTCACATTGTCATCCTACAGAAAGTACAAATGAAATCAGCAACATGCATTTGAATTGTTGATGAAAAGTCGCCATATGTATAAACGGATCCAGTGGACCTCAGCTGGACCCTTGTTTGGTACGATGATGGTTCGAAACTGGAAGAAGGGTAGGAGCAAAGGACTGAGGGTGCTTACACTCATGTCTGCTCAGATAGCCAAGCCGCACTGAAAGACCTTAAAATCACTTGCTTTCATTTCGAAGATTACAATTTTGCTCTGCTTTGAAATACTCATGCAACTAGGGAAAGACAATACACTTATGTGGGTTCCATCAGAGCATGAAGGAATCAAAGAGAATGAGGCTGTTCGCCTTGTTAAAAAGGGTGCAGACTGCAGAGTATGTATTCTTTGGTTCTTAACCATTCTGTTCTACAAGTAAATGTCACGTAAAGGGAGAGCCCAGAAAATGAAAAGAGACTGAAAAGGCCAACTACTATTATTCTCATAATAGAGTCAAGGAACTACTCAGCCTTGGCAAACCAGAGCAAAAGCTTATCACAGGCTTATATAGGTTATAAAATGCGATGACTATATACAAGTACAATGTTCATCAAATATGTTGACAGAAGCAATCGTACCCATAATTACTTAAATATCTTGGTATAGAACACAAAAAGTTCCGAATACATAAATTCAGTAAAGTTATTCTAATAACGCACGTTTTCTAACATTTTCGTTTTTTCGTTTCAGTATACTCTTATGACCGAATTAAGAGAAATAGTAGCTGTCGAAGATAGAGCTAGATTCGACGAATTAGTATATAGAAGAGAAACCGACTCATGCCGTTTACGGGATCCTAGAGAACAAGATTACCGGCATTCAAGAGTAAGTTGAGGTTAATACCTACCCATTCATCATTTAGTTACACTTAGTTACGTCGAATATTTTCCTGATATATAGAATGTCTCAACAGAGCAATGCAATTATCGCAAAATTACAGCGGTAATCGCACTGCGAAAACATCCCGTCGCCATAATTGTTCCAAAGCGGGTCTTACCGCACATTTTATTTGTAGTCTTTGTCAGTAATATGATATTTCTCAGAAAAAAAAACAAAGATTTCTTCGAGATTTTCTTTATTTGTGAAATATTCCAATGAACCAAATTCGTGTATAAAAATGACCAGATAATTTCGCATTCAACCTTGTTATCTCTTATACAAATTCAATTAATACTCCTTCGGCCTCAGGACCTTTCTTCAAAATGTGAAAATGAACTCTTGTAATATTTAGATACAACGCTTCCTTGCAAAATTATCGGTAATTTTTATCCACTTGTGCAATTATAACCGAAAATTATTCATAGAAGTTTCATGAAGTTAGAATCATTCCTCTATTTCAATTCACTATCTCTATATCGAGAATCAGTAGGGAGAAATCCATGAAGATATGGATGCTTATATTTCAGAATACGCTCTCTTCATTTAAAATATTTTCAGCCATGCAGTGTTGCCGCTTCTATCAAAAAGTAGCAACAACTTTGTTATTTCAAATAGAATACCATGTATTTTATTGCATTTTTGATTTCTCCCTGAAGAGCTGATTTGATCGATACGTCACACTTGAGTTCTATCGAAAATGATTACAGAGATATAGGGTGTTCAAAATCGAGCTTTTTCAACTTTAGGATTTTTTTGTGTCGAAACTATTCATTATCGTCCAAAACAGCGCACATGTCCCTATCTCAACTTTTGATTTACTATTTACTGATATCTAATCGGAACAGATACAGGGTGATCAGAATTCTGAATCTTGAACCACCCTGTATCTGTTCCGATTCAATATCAGTAAATAGTGCATTCAAAGTTGAGATAGGGACATGTGGCCGTTTCGACTGATAATTAATAGTTTCGACACAAAAAATCCTAAAGTTGAAAGATCTCGATTTTGAACACCCTATATCTCTATAATCATTCTCGATAGACCCCAAGTGTGATGAATCGATAAAATCAGCTCTGCGGGGAAAATCTAAAAATGCGATGAAATACAGGGTGTTCTATGTGAAATATGAATGTTGCTACTACTTTCTAAAGATAGTGTAAGCTCGTCGTGATATACCCTGTATATTATATTACCACGAGTGATATCCAGAAGAGGCTATGCACTACCAGAAAAACCATTCGATTTCATTATAGGATCATTATTCCTTTCCTGTTTCGAAATTTGGATGAAACCGTTTTCAGTATTTTTTATAAAATATTTGTCGAAAACTAATTATTTTCTCCTTCTCCTGTTGAATTATTTGTGAACACATTGTAAAAGATAAATGATCATTTGATTTCAGAGGAAAGGAATGCCCATACCGGATGCCAATCACTCAATATTTTCTGGATACCATGAGGTGAGTTTCTTTTTATATCTATATTTTTCTCTTCCGCTTTCTTTGAATAGCTGTATGCTGCTAACAACAATAATATTTTTTTCATAAATAATGATAGACATATGTGGTGCTTGATGCTGAAATAATGATAACTAAAACAGTTTTATATAAATATATGAATATAATAGATTGTTAATGGCCCCTGATAAGAGTTTGTTTGCAGAATTTATCATTTGAACTTCGAGCAGATACATCGAATCAAATGTAAAAAAAAACAGATATAATATTTTACGCTAAGGAATATCGGCGATTCCTTCCATAATAATTTTGTTCTATTTTTATTTTGAACAACATTTCCTATGGAGCAAATTTTTTCAATCGAACATTAACGCGTTCTAATTAAGTTACCTATATACATTTTTGAAGATATGTTAATCAAGAAATGCACCTCCATCTTGCGAGACTATCACCTCATCAAATTGATGTACACGAATTTAGATCACTCTGTAAAAATCTTGAACGTGTCATATCATATAAAATATTAAGAATGATATTACTTCTATAGAATGTTTGGGAAATAAAAATATTTTTCTGGTGTTATTTAGATACACCCTGTATAATTTGGAAATTTTGAGAATTTGTCAATAACCGACCACACTGAAGTTCGACATTATGGCATACAGGGTGATAATGGAAAAAGGTAAATAAAATTCCTAATATCCTGTATCTCGAAAAGTAAGCTCCAAAACATACAAGTTTTTCGGACATTTTATCATTTTGGTCACCTATCAGATTTTCTCGACCAAAATCTAAAAGAATTAGTTTTCAATAAAACAGTTCATATAGTAGGCCCTGCAGATGGGGCTAGTTAAATTGATTATCATTCCATCAGCTGTCAGTTATGGAAAGATATAAACAGCTAATAAAAAATCATGTTCGCTATAGAAAGAGATGAATATGACTATGAATCCTGTAAAATAACCTAAAGATCACTGTGCAATTTCCTAAACTACTAAAACTGAAATACTTGATTCTTATCATATTATCAAGCAGACAACTGACAGAAGAGTAAGGTGACCGGGTCTAAATACAACAAAGTTCTGTCATATGACCATTTATGAGAATATTAATATTCCACCACCTGATTGACATATTTCGTTCAGCCGGCTGTTGTTTCGCTCATTCATAAATCATAATCATCCAATTACAAAATATATAATTAAACGTTGAGTAGTTCCATCTACGGAAAAGATCTGAAACCTTCAAATAAAAATCGTGCAGATTTCTACTTATAGTCGAGAAACGTGAGCTTGGTTTTACTTCCCGATTTTACCGCTAGGTGTCGCTGCTTACGTCATACTGCCAGGAACTACAGTTTCCATAACAAGTAGTCGAACGGCCACTGGTTAATTCGTCTTCAGTAGGGTCTTAACTGATCCACTGTAGCGGATGATGAATTTAGGATATGATCAATGATTATTTTCCGCTTGTCATTTAACGATCGCAACCGTTTCTTGACAAAAATCTGACGCTACCTGAAGACCAGCCAACTTAATTCAAGCACAAATCCTTTCAAAATATCTTAATTTTGCTTTAGAATTTGAAAATTATACGTTCATGTTCAGAAAAATGGTATAGATTCATTTGCCTTGTGATTTCTAGACGCATATTTAAATTGAAAATTCATGTTGTATTTGTCTCCTTCATTGTCTTCATAATGATTGATCTCTTTGTGATAGGCCGAATTTTGTTTTTTTTAACCTATTACCTACCACATGTAATTTCTTAATTCACAGAATCATCTTTCAAATGCTCTCAATGACATTGCACGAAAAATTTTAAGAAACATGTATTATTCAACACCTACACCAAAATTTGTGATCAAAATTCATTGATTTTTCCGTATTCAATTGAAAATGGTGGATATTCCATAAACTGTGCTATCGAGTTCTTACAGGAGGGCATTTTTCATAAAAAAATGAACATCCTTTGATATCTAATAATAAAACTTGATAATGTTCTATTGATACGTAGGTATATAATGAAATAATTGGTCTGATGATGCCACTGACATTGATATCAGCTGAAATTTACTACGAATCTATTTTCTCACAAATACTTAGTATACTGACACCAGAATATCTCCTATTTTGATAAATTTTTCTTTCAGCTTGAACGCTCTCTATTTCAGAAACGACGTTCTTAGGAACTTTTTGATTGATTGATTGTTTTTATTACCCCAAGAAACATATTTGTTTATAAAAGGGATACATGAGCACATATAAAAAATAATAATAATATTAAAAGGTTAACTAATGAATTTCACTTAGTGGAAACAAATTCATACTTTTTCTTAAGATGAATGTTAAAATATTTCAATTCTGAGTATTCAAATCATGCCAAATATTTTTCAATCAAATTGTCCTGACCAGGTATTGTTCAAGATTGATGACTTTAAATCTGCTTACATCATGTATATTTTTCAATTCTCGGTAATGAATTGTAAAAAATTATTCAATTATAAAATTTATTGTTTGCTAATGTTCGACTTGAAGTTATTTGCTATCAAGTAATTCAATTGTCTAGTCCCATAAGTATGGACTGTGTTGACTTCATTAAAAGCTGAGTTTGATATTTCGAATTTATTCCTGACAAAATGAATAAAGCAACATATTTTGAGTTTATATAACAAAATCAGATTTAGAAATTTTCTAGATTTGTATAAATTTGGTGTTGGTTCTAGCAAATTTAGATGAAAAATGCGAAGCATGAAATATTTGTGCTCCCCCAAATAGAAATTGAATATTGTAAATTTGAATATATGAGGCAAAAGTGAATACACTTTAGGTATTTTACAGGAATGATATTTAGGGTTTTGAATAAAACGCCTATGATTGGATTTATTTTATTTCTCAAATGGTCTGTCTAAAAGAATTAATTGTTGAAGTAAAGCTACTATACAGTGGGTTATCGATATTATTTGCGATATTCTGAATAATATATCGATATCCATACATCTATGCAAATGTGGCTATGCTATAATGAAGTTATTTATTCATTTCTCTCGTCGTTTCTATAAAATGAAAATATGCATATTATTTCAATATATTTGTAGTGGGACAAATCAGACGATTTGCCCCAAAATGTCACTGCTTCCGTTCTCAACATGAAAATGCAAAATATTTTCCTTTGGAAATTTTGCTCTGCTTATAGTTTGACACATCTCAGTGTCATACTGATGTTGGCTATGAATGAGTGATTTTAGTCTACAAATGAGTTACAGGATGTTCTCATGAATTGATCTAGATTGATTAATTGATTGATCTACTTTTAGGCTCCCTGATAGAAAAATTTGTTAAAGGCAGTGACGTTTGGGGGCAAATCATCTGATTTTTCCCACAACAAATATATTGAAATAATTCGCATATTTTTATTTTATAGAAACGAGGAGAGAAAATCCAAAAAAATCGAGTAAAATGAATGTACCACCTCCTCGATTAAACTACAGACAGTATTTAAGTTATTTATTGATTATTATTCTATAGGACTACGGTCCAACAGGGCAGAACCCACTTCCTGGTATAAACATTTACAATGAAGATGAATATCATCGATCTCCAAGTGAAGATTCTGGTTTGGGCATGGGCATATCGGATAAAAATACAAGGTAATGACCACGAAAAATTCAAAGAAAACCAATGCCTCCTTTGTGAATTATAATATTGAATGATTCAGAAAAATATTCCTACTCAATTTGTACGATCTGATCATAACAACCATAATGATTCATGTGAATCAAATTGTATTCTATTTTTGAAATCCAAACTCAAAGTTCTGTTGTTGCATACTGTTAATACCTATACAGGGTGTAATTTGATTGATGGCTGAAAATAAAGGATATGGTTCCTTGTATAGGTTAATTAAAGAACATCTCAACTTTCGAGCTATAGGGTGTTGAAATTCTCATGAAGTTTGACATGCACCTACCAATAGGCATTTTTGAAGCAGGAGATTTTTTGATATTTCTACCAGTGGCATCTGTATGTGATGTATTCTGAAGAAAAAAAATTGTATGCCGTTGATTGTTCCGAGAATAATAATCAGTTTCTTGAGTCTTGAGAGCAAATGCCAATTCTCAATTCCTGAGGATTTTTATTTTTCATGCTCTCCTTTTGAATGTTCAACAGATATAATTAATTCAATGTTCAACGTGACAAATAGTCAGGAAAGTAGTTGTTTTCTATTGAATATTCAGAATGATATTATGTGCATATACTATTTTTATCTGAAGGAAGATTCAAATTCTCGACTTCAGATTTTGTTTTCAAATTCTTATCGTATGTGTTCAATAGACATAACTCAATGTTCGTCGTGGAATAAGCATATAGCGAAGAAAGTATATAGTTGTTTTCTGTTGAATAAACCGAGGAAGAATCGATATTTTCATCACATAGAGGATGCGAATTCTTATAAGAAAATATTCCATTTCAATTCTTTCACCCAATCAAGGGGTTGAACGAAGCAAACTTGTTATTTTTAAGTATAGACCTTTGATCGCAGATTCATGATTAGGTTTTGGCAATTCAGAATTTCTCTTCACATCCTGTATGATGTAGGTATATCAATTTGTCATATATAGTATGATGCAAATGTATGGAATAAATTCATTTCAAAACAAGACGACTTCCGAAAAAAATCCAAAAACTAGAGTTCAGAACTTTTTTTATTGTGTATTTGTTTAACTAGACGACCCTTCGATGTTCAATTCACAGTAGCAGAGACCTCTGCAAGATTCAGTTAACCAAATGATAATCCATTTTAATTGCAGTATTCTTATGCAAAATTTTGACTGTTGGATAGACGATCAGTAGACCTTTCAAACGAGGTGTCACATCATGACCCCTGCTTGTATTTAAAAAAATCGTCCATTACGTCATTACTTCTACACCAGTGACGTAACATCTTTCATATGAATGTCATGAGATGAGGCTTCAAAATTTAAAACTCACGTGTTTTTGGAATGTCTTCAAATGTCGCCCATTTCTGAAATAATGAATTCATTCCATACATTTGCATCATACTGTATATCCAAAAACAAATCCTATATTTTCAGCAATCAATTGAGTCATAGGCTAAATTATATTTGAAAAATATCTCTACACTTTGAAAACTCTTGAGGTTCATGAATATTTTTCTGATCTTGTCCATTATAGTTTCCATCTGAAAAACTGACTGATGTTTTTGAATTGTGATTCCGCAGTTTTAACATTTTTGACGTTTTTAGAATACGTCCATCAAGCGCTACAGGAAAATCTGACTTGAATGACAAAGATCACCGAAACCAGGTGATTACCTATTACAAATACTTTTTCTTTGTATTCTATTTTCTTTTCTACTCTATCTTCGTACTTATATAGGCTTGTAGAAAAACGCAAAATAAGCACAAGGCGATCCTTAGATCCGAGGTTCGCTTTATTCTTATTTTGTTTTTAGAGCACTCGCACCAACATATCTCTATCATATTTTCCTTCGCACCTTTGGTTAACCATGAATGTAACTTGTTCAATATGTTTGAAGATCTATTTAAAGAATGTTGTTACTATATTTAGTGAACATATTATTATAGTTTATCAAAGATTCGTGGGCAGAATACAATGTTTTGATGGATTCTGAAATATAAATAATATAATCAGATACATGTAGCTTCAGAAAGTACCATTCAACAAGGCATTTGACTATGTGAATCATGACATTCATTTGAACCCATTGTTCTCAATAGGTAACAGAGAATGTTATTTGTAGTTCCCTAATAATGAATATTACATATGGTGTACCGCAAGGGTCAGTTTTGGGACCAATTATATTCTTGATTCACATAAATTCAATATCAACTTTGGAATTAGCTTAAAATCCATAAGGTAACTCTCAAGATTCATCTCAAAAAGAAAATCTGATGTATCAAATAATACACTATTTATCAATAATAGAACCATTGAATATACAGATGTTGAAGATTTTGAGATCTTTATATCGATGAAAGACTATTGTGGACAAAACATATAGATAAAAATCATTTAATTAAAATTCGAAATTTCATTTATATACCTACCTGATAGATACTTACTTGAAGAGTATTCATTTTTGTCTTATTTACTCGAAATGGCAATATTATTTTACATCGATTTGGGAAAATACAAATACTTTTGAGACCACTAATGAAGTAACAAAATAGAATGGAAAGTGCGTTTTCAATTTGGATTGTCTAGAACCTACTAGGAATTTATGCCAACAAATTCAAGATTTGTTGTTTTATTCATTGTGAATCTGTTGTTGCAAACCATTTCATTTTCATTTTTTTATTGACAGCAATTTCTTTCGAATGCCCAAATTCCATAAACTTCCATTGGGTAGCCAATACAGATTCCTGCAAATAATATTGTACCCTCCCACGAACCAACTGAACTCGTTTTATTTGTCACATTAAAATTTTTTGTCGATCCTGCTGTATTTTATGTTTTATACACCTGTTGCAGGAATACACGAGCGGAGATGAGGAAGATCCTGCTGGGAATAGGAGCAGGAGACACTCTAGTCCGGGTGGATCTAGATCCGGCAGCACGACAGCGTTACACCAGCAGGAATATACAGATGCTGTGAGTGATAGCTCTCTTTTCGCATTCTTTCAATGCGTTTACATAACATTTATTTCTTTCTATTTCATCACCATAGTGCTCAGAGATCAATATATGGAGAAACTTCCTTAAAAACGAATGATATGTCTGGAAAATACTGTCTGTAAGTTGATCTAGGAGGTGGTACATTCATTTTGCTTTTTCATTTGGGATTTTCTCTCCTCGTTTCTATAAAATGAAAATATGAGTATTATTTCAATGTATACGTGTAGTAGGACAAATCAGATGATTTGCCCCAAAATGTCACAGCGTAAAAAAATTCTATCAGAGAGCCTAAAAGAAAAATCCAATTGTTTGTTTGTCAGTGACAATTTGTTTTGAAAAATGTTTGAAGAAAGGAAATATAGATATATAGAAAAAATATCGAATTTTTACTTATCTTTGGAAGTTTCGAGAACGAATCTGCTCCAGTTTTCAACATGAAAATGTGAAATATTATTCTTTGCAAGTTGTGTTTTTATGTGGTATGACACTACTGAAAACTGAACATGAAAATGGAAGGTACAAGATCAATTAATGAAAACATCCTGTAACTCATATGTATGCTATAACATCGCTCATTCATATGTCAACGTCCAAAGATAAGTGAAAATTTGATATTTTCTCAATATATCTGTATTTCCTTTCTTCAAACATTTTTCAAAACGAATTGTCACTGACAAACCTCTTTTTTAAACGCAGTGACATTTTGGTGTAAGTCATCCGAAATCATCTGATTATTTGTCCTATTCATATATTGAAATGATACCCATATTTTTATTAATAGAAACGAGGCGAGAAAATTCCAAATTATCAAGCAAAAGGAATAATATTGAGTTTAATATTGACACTATAGTGTCGATATAACATTTCACATCAAGTACAAGAAGTGCCACTTCAGAAATGAACGAATCCAATAGTTCGACTTCGAATAACAATCAGGTATAAATTTCAACGAAAGCATGAAAAAAATGTTCTAATGCAATTTGTTTTTCTTCCTTGAATCTATCACAAGTTCATAGTTGGGTAGCACATGTTTCAAGATGGAATGTGTAAAAATTCCAGCCGAACTATGGCGAAAGATAAAGCTTGCAGCTTTCCATATGATTTTGAAGGATGGAAAAATATATTTATGAACTAATTTTGAACATCAGTAGTTTGAAATTGGTTTGAATTGATTTTGCGATACGATTTCAAAATATTCGAGAGGTTTATTGTTTATTAAAACTCGATGAAGAGTATAATTTGTGAATAAACTATTTATTTCTATGACAACACTACATATATGTCACAACAGGTAGAAACGACCTTACAAAATACAAAAATTCAACAGAGAAAGCATGAGACTTATCTAAGAAGCCATGAGTTTTTGTAGATAATAATAAAACCTGAAATGAATTTCATTATGACTCCTAGAAGTAAATATGTGATTTTCGAAATTACCTTATAATCTAAAATCTAAAATTATTGTTTCTGAAACTTATATCACAGGTATACATATTTCTATAAATCTTATACTATGAGATAAGATTATTCTTATTTACTATTAGTCAGCACAAGAAGAACATACATAAATTATATAATATCGACATTGACGGGGTGAGACTGAATAAGTTCGAAAAAATGTACTGGGAGATTTCATGTCATATTTTATGAAAGTAAAGTGCATACAAGCATTTTTCATAACTTGCTTTGTTTTTGAGATACAGAGTATGAATGTTTTCGTGAAAAATCTTGTTTTCATCCAACTTTATTTTCATTATATTGAAAAATTGAAAATACAACTTTCATGTCCCTTGTGTTGTATCTACTTTATAATCTTACTTGGTTTTCGAGGAAACAATGAGAATTCGATTTGTCTAGAATTTTTTGTGTATACAGGGTGTCCCATTTTAATCTTTATTTGGAAATTTCTCGAAATGTATGCATCTGACAAAAAAAATTGCCGAATAAAAGTTGTATGGTTTGGAGGGGGACGTCTGGTTGTAAAACAAGTTTCACCCCCTGACCCCCAGGGGAGTGGGAAATAGAGGTAACATTGAAATCTTTAATGGAAACCCCCATTTTTTATTGCAGATTCTGGAAGAGCATTAAAAACTATGAAACTTTTATTCGGGAACTTCTTTTTTATTTCAACAAGATGGCGCTCCGTATGTGGTTACAGCAAGATGGCGCGCCTCCACATTTTGCTAGAATTGTGCGAAATTTCCTTGACGAGAGATACCCGCAAAAGTGGATTGGTCGTGGGGGACCCGTGCCCTGGCCACCCAGATCACCCGACTTGACTTCCCCAGACTTCTTTCTGTGGGGTTACATCAAAAACTTTGTGTTTCGCGAACCCCCAACCACACGCGAGAATATGAAAGATAGAATTAGAGAAGCGTGCATGGCTATAACGCCTGCTATGTTGAAAGCGACAGTGCGGAATTTTGAAAAACGAGTGAACTTGTGTATTCAAGAAAATGGAGGGCAATTCGAACACTTGATGAAGTGGTCAATCTCACTTGAAACCAGCTTTAGTCTGACCTAAATGATTCCTTAATTGCGGAACCATGCTTATTTTTCTCTTTTCTATGTAGAAGTGTCAAGGTAAGTTAGTTCGTTTACCGTTAATTTGTCGTGTGAATATCAATGGCGTTTGTCTGGGAAAATATCACACCCTACACTCTTCCTCGTCTTCAGGGGGTTGAAATGTGTAAATAGTAAAATATTGTTTTTTACTATCGCAGCGCCATCTTGTGAAAATAAAAAAGAAGTTCTCGAATAAAAGTTTCATAGTTTTTAATGCTCTTCCAGAATCTGCAATAAAAAATAGGGGTTTCCATTAAAGATTTCAATGTTACCTCCATTTCCCACTCCCCTGGGGGTCAGGGGGTGAAACTTGTTTTATAACCAGACGTCCCCCTCCAAACCATACAACTTTTATTCGGCAATTTTTTTTGTCAGATGCATACATTTCGAGAAATTTCCAAATAAAGATTAAAATGGGACACCCTGTATAGGTGCTCTGAAGAGACCCACTCAGATTACTCATATCCTCAATAAGTATATGATTTGAAATTGTGAGACTCTCTTATGGTCTGTTCATAGACATAAATTATATTGAATATATTTTTATATTTTTAATTTTAACTCATCCTAAGCTCAAGGGCATTCTTTTCACTCAGATGCGTTAATAGAATCTCATTTAAATATTTTATTTAGTCCATTTCTTATGGCAAGTAGTGCTGTTGAATTACTGTCAAGTCACTCATCAGACTGAATTTTGCCACCATGGAATCTGATACAGGGGGACAAAAAAAACAATCAACACTTCCAAATTCAACATCCTGTATCTCAAAATGAAGCAATAGGGGACATCGCTCCAAGTTGCCAACCTCAAAACCTCTACCAATGTAGAAGCAACTATATGGAAGTTTTATTACTGAAATCGCTTTATTTTGATTGAATCTGATTGTAGGAGTTTACTCAGCTCAATAATAGAAGTTATTCAGAAGAAAAATCAATGTTTGTGAACTTCAGTTCTGATTAGTTGAAAATTATGTTGATGCACCTGCTTTGATTTTGAAATATGTGATATCGTCGTCAATTTTATTACTTGTCACATTTTTGTTGCATAGAGGACAACACTTTTATTTATCATTCTTAAGAAAAGAAGTTTGATCGTTGCAGTAGGAAGTAGGAATATAGGTATTTCATCGAGTACTAAAAATCGATCCAGACTTCGTAAGAATAAAATAATGAAGATTTCAACATTTTCCTGAAATTAAAAATAACCCAAGAAAGTGTCTTTGAGTGGATGAAACCATAACTCTGTGAAAACAGAGAAATCACAGTCGATATCATTAATAAAAGCACTAATAAGCATTTTCCTAGAAAAAAAAAATAACAACAGGAAAAGGAAATCATACAATAAATACTTTTGGAGCTTACACGAGTCACCTAGGATAAAAACTGATCGAAGTTTCCAATAATAGAAATACATATCACAAATGTCGGAATACAATATCAAAATAACATACCTTTATTCAAAAACTAAGAAACAGATGGTTTAATGGTAGCGTAGCTGAAATCACAAGACTATTCGAACATAAAAATATATATTTATTATAGCATGATATATTATAGGTAGTGAGGAAATATAAATGAACAACAATGAAAATGTATATGAAGACCTAATAACAATGTTGATGATTAACATTACGATGAGTCGAAAGAAGCCCCAGACCAGGGAACCCTCACATCCAGTTCATTATATAGGTTTGTACCTTTCTCATGAGAGTTTCTTGATCATTATTCGAACTTACTCATGTACCATTTTTTATTCGTGACACTACTGACTACTGACTCTATTGAAAGTATTGACATTTCAGTATTGACTCACCGCAGATGCATCAACATGATTTTCAACCAGTCAGATGTGAAGTTCACAAAAACTGTTTTTTTTTCTGAATAACTGTCATTAGAAAGCTGAGTAAACTCCTACAATCAGATTTCACCAAAATAAAGCTATCTGAGTAATCGAACTTCCATAATATTGCTTCTCAAGTGGTGTGTAGGTTTTTTTAATTGAACTAAGGAATCACCTATCGAAATCTCTCGCACCCTGTATAACACTGAGACCAGCGACTCACATCCAACATTCACATAATACGACATGCAAATTTCAAAGGCAAATGCAGATCAGCACGAGTCTATTATGGTGTTCATCAGCTGCCTCGTTAGCCATACTGATCTGATCAACATCGACAGATGATTAGAAATTAGAATGCATCTCGGAATGCATTGACGATCACTATATTGTGACTCGGTTCGGAATGATAGAACCTGTCGTGAATGGCCAATCAGCGTCGATAGAGAAAATGTCAAAGGTGTGACTGGATATCAAAGCAACATTTATTATTAATAATAATATACGCGGGGGATGATAAATGTAACATTGATAACATGTCTCTGTCGTAGTCTTTTATATGCACAGGGTTTCAATTTATTTCTGATTCATTCAACACGGAAAAATAGGAATTGTTGAATCAAGCAGAATTGAATTGAATGAAGCAAATATAAGTGTCATACATGCACAAAATATAATCTTGAAATGGGTAAATATATATCTTGTTTCAAAGCGAATTATAGGTTTCAATCAAGTAAATATGTCTTGCATGAACTCTGGATCTTATTCAATCAAGCACATCCATGAATTCTGTATGAAGAGATAATGAATTGGCTGAAACAATCATTTTGTCTGATTCAAAATAACAAGATATTGATTCAATCAAATGTTTAGTTGATTCAATGAAATATTTGGTCGATTCAATGAAATATTTGGTTGCTCCAAGCCTATTTCGGCTTGCTAAAGAACCTAAGTTTTATTTATTCAGCTGATATCTCGTTAACTAGGAATCAGGCTTCACGTATATGATGAAATCGAGGCAGGCATAGACGAGGCGAAAAGATCACCATCTAGTGGCGAAAATCTAAGTTGATGTTGCTTCATTCAAGCAAATCATCCGTTCGAAACGAGTTCATTGCTTCATCGTAATGCGAGAAAACTTTATGTTGTTTCAAAGATATATTCTTATCAAAATTATCATTATTTCATCAAATCAACAAAATGTTTATAGTTGAATCGACATCGACATTTTTTTGGATCGACATAATTTGTTTTTGAGATAACCATATATTTAGTTGATGGAATTGATATTATAGTGTTGAATCAATTAAACTACATTCTTGAGTTGAACAAGCTCTGCTTCCAAGAAATGATCATGTCTTGTATCTGTTTGATTCAACAAAAAATTGGTTGATGCAACAAATTTTTTTTTTCGTGAATGCGCAATATAAAATATGGAAAAAATAGCCGTTTGGCACGAATATTATGGGGATGGGGTGAACAAGAACCACTATATTTCAGTGAATATCAAATAGCATTAAACCCTTTGTGTAGCAGATCGTGTATATCACGTGACTGAATAGTGCCACAGAATACCTTCAGCACTTTGCTGGAATAGGTGCATTAAATGACTAAGCAACGTTGCCAAATATCAAAAACAGCTGTTGTGATGTGGCAGAAGAAAAATTTGAAAGAAAAAATATTCAAATTGTTGGCAGGGTGCAGAACTATAGCGATCCATCTATAGTCTTTCGTCGTTTCATTCTTGGGTATTTGACTTCTTGTGAGCACTCTGATTACATAAGTACTCCAGTAGGTACTCACATATTACGTATAATTGGTCGTAACTCACAGGCAATTAAACTATACCCACAAATTGGTAACCCTGTATACATTTACCCGGTATAGATAAAGAAGCAATGAGGATAAAATCGCGTATCAGAGGCAATGTTGACATTTGCTACGCTTTTTATCACTTGCAAATCTACAATTTCTCCGTTTCTGTCATTCACTCTACAGGAAGTTTCAACATTCAGTGTCAAGATTTCATAGGCGTATTATTCAGGTCTAAATAACACCTTTTTTTTTTCTCTAAACGTGCGTGTTAGCGAACACTCAGTTACCGATCTACTAGGTTTCAAGCTTTTTTAGTTTAATACCTATATAGCACTGCCAGCTTTTGAAATGATAAGATAAAATTTCAATCGAAAGGTGGAATAGACCAATAACAAGACCAAGATTACATTTATTTTTCGGTCTTGGTCTCGCGAAGCTCTAGTTCTGTAGATCGGAGAAGAAGCGTTTTCGGAAACATATTATGTTAATTGAAAAAAAAAAGGCTTATTTTGACCTGAAGAAAACCGCTATTGAAATTTTGATACTGAATATCGATATACCCTATATAACAAAAATGATCATTATAATTATGTTGCTATAATATTCTCCTTGTGCATTTTTCCGAAAATGTCATTACAATTTCTGTAACGCCCTTCGGATTCCTTCTGTGGCTTTCGCCATGTTGGTCGAACTTTTGAGCTTGAAATCGTCCCTAGACTCCTCGATGGTGGTGTAATCTTTCGGCGGTTCTGTCGGATAACCGCAACCATAACCACGTGACCCGCTGCCGAATTTGGGTCGTGGAATATGCACCCTTTTGACGTCTTCCAGCCAAGTCTCCATGCTTCGAAAATGATTCTCTGTAACATAGCAAATCGTTGTATCCATTTCTCCGGTTTTTGTGATTTCAATCTTGTTTTGTACCTTCTTAATCTCTTGGAGCGCACGAAAGGAAATTCCTATAATGTTCGTGGAACATCGTGCGTACCTTTGGAGGATAGGGAGAGGAGGTAGGTGGATTTTTTCCAACTTTTGGAGGTTATAAGTTCTTGGAAATACTTCCATTGGCAAAGAATTCCAAAGCTTCACCGTTTTATAGACGTACGAGTTTTGGTAGAGTGTTGTTCGACATATTTCAGATTTCCTGTGGGAGTATCTATATACAGGGTGTCCGGAAATTAAGTGCAAAAAATCAAGGGGGTGATTCTACATGATGAAATAACAAATTCAGTTCATATGTACGTGGGTCCGGAAATGCATAGTTTTCAACATACAGTGTGTTAAAACTTTTGAAAGAGATCGGTATTTTATGAATATCTCAAATGTCCGTCCACTGATTTTCTTGAAATTTGGCAATGATATTTTTTATCATGAGGAGCTGATATAGCCATACTTCAGTTGGAATTATGAAATCCAGTGGCATCCTGGGGGCAACCTACCGAATATTATTGTCAATAAAATGTGCGCCACTGATTTTTTTGAATTTTGTATCTTCATAACCTATTGACCAACACAAAATACATCTTTAGGTCTATTGAATTGTTTTGATAATTCGGTTCATTTCCATGGAAAAAATTAAATACCAATTTATTGCATAAATCTGTGCCTAAAAATTCCTTGCTAGTTGTTGCTGATTGAAATTGAACTGCCTTACATGTGGTATGCAATCATGATAATGAGAAAACAAAATATCATGCGTCATGACGACTCAATACTTCTTCATGGCCATGTATATATAATACGCTACATTCTTAGACGAGAAGGAGAAAAAAGCCCAGAAAATCCAAGAATACGATGAATAATTAAAAAACTATTACCTGAAATTAACTTTCCTAGAATTAATGCACATTAATGAATAGTTAATTGTATCATAAACATGAAAATATAACTAAACCATAACTGAACTAAAACTCACGTCAAGAATGTCAAGACCAAGCCTAAAACTAAATGAAAACTTTCAATAATAGTTGTAGGTTATAGTAGATATCTTGATTATTTAATATTTCTGTGCATTTTTCTTCTTTGGCTATGAAGAATTATGTATTAATATTGTATAGTCATGATGACTGATACTTTTTTTTCTTAAACCATATTCGAAAATATGGGCAGTTCAATATTATGCAGTGAGAACCAGGAAAACATATTTTTTTACTGTCGGCTGTGAAGGGGAATTTCAGCCCTACTCACTGGTATAAAAAACAAATATGACGCCCATAAGAGAAACAAAAGTTGCATAGAAAATCTCTGAAAATAAAGAAGATTTAATATTTATAACAATCCCAACTTCCCTTATCATGATCAATTTCTTGTTTACGCAAAACTTCAGATTTTTTCCTTAAAAAACTAAGAAAATGAATAGAAACAAAAATTAGTAAATTTCATTGTTCTCAAAATATTTCAGGGCTAGCTAAATTTTTTCAGTTTGCATTAGGGATGCCGATTCTAAAATCGATTTTTCAGAGATCGATCTTTTCTGCACAAAATATCGATTATTTAATTGATTTTTCTGAAGCATGCGATTCATCGAATCGATTATCTTTTACGAAGATCGATCCCAAACTTCTAATATAGTTGTGACTGAGAAAATAGAATAATTTTGTTCCTTCCTTCTTCGTTATTGGGAATTTATTTTTATATATCATCATTTTTCATAAAATTCTATACTTTTTCGTTGCATTCATTATAATATTCCTCAAGTTATCTCGTAATGATACCTATTCTGAAAAAAAAAACAGTTTTAATTTCAAATTTGGCGCGTGACGTGAATTGATTTTTGAGAATGTATTAAATTTGCCTCGATCTTTTTTTAATCGATTTTTTAGGGTTCCGATTCTAATCGAATAAAAAATCGATTTATTTTTGAAAAAAATCGGCATTCCTAGTTTGCATAACAATTAGGCAACTTTAGACTAATTTCAACACCAGCAATACTGTCCCTATGAAATCAACGACATTGTCACAGCCGTCATCAATATCACTGTAAAACAATTTATATTCAATTAATTTACACCGGGACAGCGCGTACGCAGTCCCGACTACCAAAAATTACACGCCCGAGTTATTCGCATTAGGAATAATCGCAGAGGTCAACCCAACCGAAGTGCAATGGAAGAGTCTCACCCTGGGGGAACCGCCTTGTTGATCACGGTTAACCCCTACGCCAGGTAAGTATGCTTTGGTAAGCTAGACCGCCAGTATTTGAACCCCATCGAGCGCCGGCCACGAGCGACGCTCAACGCATACTCAACGGTTGCCATCTAGCGGACAAGAATCGAAGCAATAGTATCTTCAATACTTATTCATGATCATTGACGATTGAGCATAGCACGACATAGCTTATATTATTATCATGAAAGTGATATCGGATCTTGGAACTACCAGAGTTGAACAACGAACCCATTCGACAAGTAGTGTATTTTGATTTTAACGGGACTCATTTTGCCTGCCTGTATGCTAGTAATACATATATAAGGTATACTTTTGAATACATTAGCTTCTCTCTCTTCCAGAAGAGGACAACACCAATTCTT